TATTATTGTTGGAAGTTAGGAATACTAAATTTGGATGTTTTTTGGCAACTTTGGTCATTATTCTTTACCAATTTTCACACTTTTGGTCTTTGCAATCAATATTTTTACATTTTTTTGGAACCTTTTAATATTTAAAGTTTGGCCACAAAACTTTAACGGTTTGACAACTTTGATCCCTTTTCTAAAAAGTTGCTAATTCCTACCCCTTTAATTCTTTAGCCATTTTACATTTCTGGTCCTTGCAGTCAAAACTTTTACATTTTTTGTCCGGGGCAAAGCCCGGATTTTCATCCTTGCACTTACTATGTCTATCATATTTATCAATTCGAAAACAACATTGAAATCTTCTGGCCCCCGCGTAGCGGGTTAACGTTTCTAGTTTAGTAGAAATTTTAGTATTGCCATAAAACATTTAAAACTTAGCATATAGGCCAATTCTGGTAAATTCCCATATGGGACCTCCTTCTTCGAGTACATTAAACATATAGCCCCCAAATTCTCTGCAATTTTTCGTAACGAAGGTAGCCCTTTCCATTCCAATTTCTTCCCCGATTTTGCCCTAATTCCATAATGCCCCTCGATTCCTCCGTCCTTGACATGATCTGAACAAACCGCCTACGATCTCCGTTATCTCTCACTCTAGAATTCCCCCATCGTAAGCCTGTCCGTTCAGAGAGTTAGGGTTTCAATTCAGTCGAGCGAGCTGTTGTAGAATCAAAGGTGCTAAGTGACTTACTTTCTTCGAGTAGGTGTATATTCTTTTCCAATTTTGGGCTTTTTAAACCTAGCTAACATTTTGAGTATGTTACACGTGTAACTTGTTATGTTTTTAGTGTTGCTGAGGTTTGTTGATAAACGAATATGCCTGCAGCGTTGTTGGTATTTCTTGGTTGAATTTTGTGTTGTTTGTGTTTATTTTTATGCAATCTGTACACCATCTGTTAACAGGAAACATCTACACTTTAAATTGAATGTCGATTAGTTGACTTTCAAGTTCAGAATTGATATGGCTTTTGAACTTTCTAAAGGTTGTTAAACCAAATTTCTGGACAATGGTAAAGTGATAGTGCGATTATCTGCACGTTATATTAGTAACTGAAGTTATTTTTTTTTCTTTTTCTTTGTAATTTGACTTGGTATTTGCAGTAATGGGGCTTTTATTTGAATCTTTGAGTTGAATTCCAACTAGGTTATAAACATTCAATTTCGGTTATTTTGTAGTTCATGTTGTCTTGCTTGGAAAGTATGAAGTTGACTGGTTGTACATGGACTTTTAGTGGGTTAAAGAGATGACACACAAACAGTGGATCTAACTTCTGCTATTCCTGCAACCAGTTCTTTAACCCCCAAAGGTCATAAACATGTTTCAAAGATGTTAATTGCCTACCAAGTTAGAGTTTTTTTCAACTTCATTCTTGTAAACATTACCCCTAGAAGGGGCACTTAACTCCTCAGGTATTCCTGTTGAAACATGTACTTTAGGGGTTGGTGCAGGGGATAAAATTTTAAAGCAGACCCGCATTCATCAGAAAAAGAAGATGACCAAGATTTTGTGATATACTTTTGACATTTTTATGTTTTAAAGGCTTCTTTCAATACATTAGTAAAGCATATATATATATATATATATATATATATATATATATATATATATATATATATTTTCATAATGATATCTTCATATGCATAGTATAAGACTATATATAACAATGGTTGTGTCCTTTCTGTAGGTATATGCAATGGTGAAAGGGAAACTTATTCTAATTTGCCAATCTGGTGGTAAGTTTGTGACCGAAGATGATGGAACCATGTCATATAGTGGTGGAGAAGCAAATGCAGAAAATATTACCAGTGAGACACCATTCAATGATATAAAGTTAAAGTTGGCTGAGGCATGTAATTTCAATCAGAAGACAATAAGTATCAAATATTTCCTCCCAGGAAACAAGAAAAACCTAATTGTTATGAAGAATGACAAAGATGTGAAAAGAATGATTGATTTTCATGGGGATGCCATCACAGCAGAGGTCTTTGTTATGGGAACACCAGGTTTTGATCGTAGTGCCCTAGACATTGAATCCAACAGGTATGTGATGCAATCTATGATTTCAATTCTAATCAAAGTCAGTTGATAGCAGATATGTGATGTTTTTCTGTACTCAATGTGATCAAATTGGTAATGTAAACAGGGAAACTGTCACCAAGAAAGATGAGACCTTGAAAAAAGATGAGACTGTTGTAAAACACAGTAATGCAAAAACCAAGAAAGGTGGCAAAGAAAAGGTGACAACAGCTCCTTCTTTTTCATCTCCAGCTAAGAGGACACGTCGTGCCATTGCTGCTGCAGCTGCAGCTGCAGCAGCAGCTGCTGCTGCTAAAGTGTCATCTGATGACAATAAAGAAGGTGGCAGTGACAAATCCGGTGGTGCCACATCAGAAGATTCCGGCCATGACACTTCCTCAAGCTCTGATTCCAACCCTGGAAATGTAAAGGCGAATTCCGATTCCGGTTCAGACTATCGCCCTAAAAGGTCTTCAATGAGAAAGCACATTGCTTTAACTACAAGCCCTGCTGATGCTGTCAAGAAAAGGAGGCGGACCCCATCTTGGAAATTTGGCGCCAATGGGCGTCCCACAATCGTTTCTTCTCCTGATTCAGGGTCAAAACGGGAAAAAAGTGGGAAAAATAATGATGAAAGTTCACAAAGGAAGAGTCGGAGGTTAGCTTCTAAAGGGGATAGTTCTACAGAAACAAAAGAAAGAAAAAGTGATCAAGAAAGTGAATCTGAAGAAAACTTACCTCTCGCCATTTATGACGATTATACCCTTACCGAAACAATGGTGGATGCATGGAAGTCAACCATCACTGGTGTCGGGCAGGAGTTCAAAAGTGTAAATGAATTCCGGGCAGCCCTGAAAAAGTATGCCATAGCAAATCGATTCGGATACAGATTCAAGAAAAATGACACAAGTCGTGCAGTTGGAAGGTGTGCTGCTGAAGGGTGTACTTGGAAATTTTATGCTGCGTGGGTTCCCACCACACAATCTTTTACTATAAAAACAATGCATAATCAACACACTTGTGATAAAGAATCAAGAAAATCAGCTCACCCTGCAAAGAACTGGTTGGTGGGGACCATAAAAGATAAGTTAAAAGAATCTCCATATTTGAAACCAAAAGAGATTGCTAATGAGATTTTGCAGGATTTTGGGGTGGAATTGAATTATACACAAGTATGGCGTGGGATTGGGGATGCTAGGGAACAACTTCATGGATCACTTAAAGAATCTTATAACAAACTCCCTTTGTTTTGTGACAAGATTCTAGAAACAAATCCAGGTAGTGTGGCTAAACTCATAATTGGTGATAAAAAAATATTCAAATCCCTTTTTGTATGTTTCCACGCGTTGATTCATGGGTTCAAGAATTGTCGCCCTCTTCTTTTCTTGGAATCTGCTTCTATGAAGTCTAGGTATGGAGAGACTCTGTTGATGGCTATCACGGTTGATGGAAATGACGGTTTTATCCCTGTTGCGTTTGCTGTAGTGGATGTGGAAGATGATGACACCTGGCGTTGGTTTTTGGAGGAGCTAAAGGGTTCGATTTTGGACTCGAGGGCTCTTACATTTGTGGTTGATAGAGATAAGAATTTGAAAAATCTTGTTGTTGAAGTTTTTGAAAATGCTTACATTGGTTACTCTATTCACCATCTTTTAGCAAGTTTCAAGAGACACATGAAGGGTCCTTTTCATGGAGATGGAAAAGCTTTTTTGTCTGTTCATTTATTGGCTGCAGCTCAAGCGGTTCGACCCATGGGTTTTAAAAAGTCAACTGAACATATTAAGACAATATCTTCACAAGCTCATGATTGGGTCATGCAAATTGAGCCTGAAAAGTATGCGAGTTCTTATTTTAAAGGTGAGAGGTATAACCACATCACTGAAGATGTTGGTGAATCGTATGCTAAGTTAATGGAAGAACATCGCCACTTACCCATATTGCAAAAGGTAGATGCTTTGATTCGTACCATGATTGATGACATGGAATATGCTAAATTAGATGGGAGTGTGTGGGTGAGTCAACTCACTGCTTTGAAAGAGAGAGAATTGGAACAAGAGAAAGTTAGGGCAACTGGGTTGAAAGTCTTGATTTCATCTGATGTAATTTTTGAGGTTCGTGAAGAATCTACACATGTTGTGAATGTTCGTGATTGGAGTTGTACGTGTATGATGTGGAAGCAGATTGGGTTGCCATGTCATCATGCTGTTGCGGTTTTTATGCTGACTGGTAAAAATCCGTATGATTTTTGTTCTGGTTATTTCACTGCTGATGCTTATCGGTTGACTTATGCTGAGTCAATACAACCAATACCCATTGATGGGCCGCATTTGGTGAAAGATGTGGGTAGAAAGTTGGATTTTGGGAAAGATGAGGGGGGTAATGTAGATGCTGAAAAAGATAAGGGTGTAAAGTTGGATGGGGAGAAAGATGAGGGTGCTGAAAAAGACGAGAGTAGAAAGATGGATGTTGAGAAAGATGAGGGTGGTGGTAATGTAGACATTGAAATGGAAGAGGGTGTGAAGTTGGATGCCAAGAAAGATGAGGGTAGCAAAGTGGAAATTGAAAAAGATGAGGGTAGTAAAGTTGACAATGAAAAAGATGAGGGTAGTAAAGCTGACAATGAAAAAGATGAGGGTAGTAAAGCTGACAATGAAAAAGATGAGGGAAGTAATGTAGATGCTGACAAGGTTGATGGTAGAAATTTGGATGTTGAGAAAGATGAGGGTGGTAATGTAGATACTGAAATGGAAGAGGGTATGAAGTTGGATGAAAAGAAAGACGAGGGTGGTAAAGTGGAAACTGAAAAAGACGAGGGTAGCAAAGTGGAAAGTGAAAAAGAAGAGGTGGGTAAGTTGGATGTTGAGAAAGATGAGGGTGGTAATGTGGATACTGAAATGGAAGAGGGTGTGAAGGAAGATGAAGGTAGCAAAGTGGAAAATGAAAAAGATGAGGGTAGTAAAGTGGAGACTGAAAAAGAAGAGGGGGGTAAGTTGGATGGTGAGAAAACTGAGGGTAAGATTAGAGAAGAACATGAGGATCCAAATGTGCTTGTGCTACCTCCAATTCCTATAAAAGGGTCTTCTTCAATGGTGAAGAAAGAGAAAGAGAAAGAGATTGAAGGTGTTGAAACAGAGGCAGAATTGAAAAGGAAAGTGACTTGTAGCACATGCAAGAAACCAGGGCACTATAAGAAGTCTTGCAAAGGTTAATTCATAGGTAAATTTAGTCGTTTGTATATATAATTATATATATATATATATATATATATATATATATATATATATATATCTATTATCTATATTTTATGCAGGTTTGTAGTGTAAACTTGAATCTTGTGGCCTTTGTTTGGAGAACTTGTGGTAGTCGTAAGTGTTTTATTTAGTTTTGTTAATTTAGTTTTTCATTGTGTGTGATTATGAGCGAGTAGGATTTGCGAGAGTTTAAGTGCAAGAAATGGGAATGTACTTTTATTCATTTTTTTAGATTGTCCTAAGTTTTGGTTTGCTAAGAATGTTGAAGTAGGAATAAATGAAAATATGATTGATGCTATAATAAACATATCAATGGAAGTACATTGTTTCTTGCATTTAACCTATGAATTTACAATGAGAATTTACCATATGGATGGAAGAAAGAGGTGTATACAAAAAAGAAAGTGAAGGGATAGGAATCGGTTATGGCATAGATTTTCAATATCAAACACAAATATGTAATGCACAATACATTTTTTATATGGTAAGACACTTGATATGTATGCATGAATGTTGAGGTTACGTGCGAAAAATATTGTTCTCAAGAGATATCATTGCCAATGTTTTGATTATGAGAAAAACTAAAGAGTTTTTTTTTTTTTTTTTTTTTTTTTTTTTTTTTTTTTTTTTTTTTTTTGGGATAAACCTATAAAGAGCCCAATTTTGAGACTTTTCTAACTTTTCAATTTTTTTATTTTTATATGTTTTTCACTACCAAATAGATGTTTAGGAGGCATAACACGAAAATTATATAGGATATAACATTAACAACTACTTGATAGATGTTTAGGAGGCATAATACGAAAATTATATTGGATATAACATTAACAACAATGTGACTAATAAACGTTGCTCTAATCAATTAAAGTGATGCCACAAACAGTTAGGGATATTAGTCAAATCATTCAAAACAAAAATGAAAGTTTATAATGCATTAACGTGAAGTCAGATTTCAACTATTTAGATTACGTATGTTAGTGTTACATTCGAATCAATGACAACACTTGGAATATAAAAACGAGAGGTCATCAGATTCAAAAACCAAGAATAGTGTAATATTTACTTGTTTAATTTCGGTCCAGTGGAATCAAATTACCAAGAAACAAGAAACGTTCCATGAGCTTTGTATTTACCGTAAATTTGTAATTTTGGAATTGGAATAAAACATGAGCTATTGTGTGACGTAAATCTACATTAGATCATTATTAGCCAAATGCATTTTTATGTTTAAGCCTAATTTTTAAAACATGAGTTTTTCAAATTTTAACTTAAGCGTGAGCTCTTGGAATTGAAACAAAACATGAGCTTTTGTCTTTAGATTATCGGATTATCGATTGCTGGACTATAGACCGAATCATATGTAAAATAGTATTATGAAGAATTCTATCATTTGCTTTTTTGAGTTTGGAAAAAAATTACGTTATATTTTATAAAACTAATATTTCTAAAATTAAAGTATGAACACTTCAAAAACTTATTTGTCAGCATCCCTTACATTTTCATGATTTTAGTAGAATTTTTTTCTGGGTTATTTTATAAAAATTAAAAAATTAAAAAATATTTTTTTCCTCAAAATTTCATGATTGTACTTATTTTGTAGAGTAGAGAACCACATTTTAAAAAATTAGATTTTTTTACTAAGAAAATGAAAAATTATTAACTAGAACTGAAATTGAAAAACACACATCAATTGTATGGAGAGGGGGAGACTTTGGAGTGTCCGATGATTCATGCGAGCGTAAGAAACGTGATTTCTTCCTGATTTTACTATATTATCCTCCATTGTTTTGTTATTCCAAATCCATCTTTTAAAAACTTACACAATTAACGAAGGGCTTTTAGCCTAGCCATATCCGGTGTTATCCTCCTTTCTTAAGGTCGAGGGTTCAAATCCTGCTATGAAGATAGATGAAATAATTTATGAGTAGTTTAGTATATTTGTTTTTTAGAAAAAAAAAAAAACCTTACACACAATCGGCCTTTAATTTTATAAGTAATCATTTTTTTTCACAATTAATCATAACAATCCAATTTAACAAACAAGTGGCAAAGATTTGTCATTATGGTCATCATTTGATATTACTCTCTCTCTCTCTCTCTCTCTCTCTCTCTCTCTCTCTCTCTCTCTCT